CTCTAGTTATACATAAGAAAAGAGAGACTAGTATGAGAGATTTAGAAATTTTTCTATACAAAAAGATGTTGCTGAGAACATCAAGAACTAAACCACTAACCATATTCCCCTTTCACTTTGGCTCAAGGTCAAATTTGCAGCCCAACTGCAGAAACTAGAGGGCCTTATGGTTTAAATATTTGTAGTCTATTTTTTTTCTCCTAGTTTTGACATTTCATTTTAATTTGTGCTTTTCCTGTTTCTTATTGTTTAATTTATTATTTATATTATGCTGTTTTATTGTTTTTCTTGTAAGCCACCTCAGAAATGTTATGGAACAGAACAGGAAAATAAATAATTCAATACATACAACTTGTATACAGCTTAATGCTTTGCAAAAGCAGTCATTCAAATAATGCAGTTTCCACAAAGAAAAAAAGTAATAATACTAAAAAAAAGAGAGAGTATTTCTGAATTATTATTACCTTTAGTACTTTTTTCCATCTTCTAATTCTAATCTTTATTATCTTTCCCATCTTTTAATTTCCACTGTAATCTGGTATAGTAGGAAAGGGAATAAGGCTTTGTACATTAGTCACAGAAGTAATGACCTCATAAAAGTTAATGCCAAGGGTGAAGGATCAACAAAATACCTTGGACAACAGTTCTAAGTACTGTCCTCCTTTTTTTCTTCTTTGTATGAAGTAATCATCCTCTGGAGGGTCTAAGTCAATTCTATGCCATTTGTGCTTCTCTTCCCAACCAGAGAAAAGATCAATAAAACAAAATTCACCCCATGGCTCAAAGGCCCGTATTATCTTGAGGCCTCACCCTGTTATCATATTTTTCATTCTTCCTAATCTTCTAAGTAAGATTGTTTAAGTTGACTAAGGAGCTTAGAAAAGACTTGATTTTCCTAAGCAGAAGTCAAACAAGGTGAAAACTGGTCTTCAGGGTTCTTCATTGCTGGGAAGCAGAGAAGTTCAGTCATATGTCCCTTGTTACAAAGCTAATAAATCACCAGTAGCTACTGTGCAACTACCAGACTTTACTTATTTGGGGGAAAGGGAGTTAGGATTTAATGTATGAATTTGGGGCAGGGCAACAAATATCAAGTCCATAACAATATGTAACTATTAAGGAGTTTGCATTTTATCTAAGAGAAATGTGGATCTATTTTACTATTTCAAGCAGGCCAGTGATATAATGAAATCTGCCTTTTAAAAACAGGCTACATTTTATAGAATGGGTTAAAATAGACAAAACTGGGGATAAGAAGATGTCTAAGTGGTTGGAAAAGTAATTCAGGTAAAAAATAATACAGCTCATATAGACCAGGATAATGGTTGTGAAGAGAAAAATTGTACCAATTGTAGAGATGTTTGAGAGGTCAGTCAACTCAAAAGTACTTAGTTATAATTCCTGGCTTGAGAAATTGAGAGCTAGTGTTTATTGAAATTTGGATTATATGGGTGGGAACTGTGTTGTCCCCCAAAGGGAAATCTATATGGTCCTTTTGGTTCACACTGTAGTTCAGATTCTTTCAGAGCAACTGCATGAAGATATTGAATGTATAGTTGGATATTTAGTTCTGAGAATCTAGATAGAAAATAATTCATCACTAAATTTTCATAATGCCCATGCTTAAAGCACAGAAATCATAATAGGTTTTTAAAATTTACAGTATAGTGAGTTGCTTATTTAAGCCTTACCTTAAAATATATTAAATGACACTAAGGAAGAGACTTTATAATATCTGTTAATCTCTGCTTTTCATTTTTCATCATCTTATAAGTGAAGGAAAACTGAGGCTAATGGACACAATATAGTCTGCCACAATCTAACAGAATTTAGTAGTGATAGAACTTAAACTCACTTCTTCATGATTCTCTCCCAAGATTATAGCAGAAGTACATTGGCACCTTAGGATCTCAGGTTCATCATATGTCAAAAGGAGATAGGCTATCCCTTTCAATTCAAGAGTCTATAAGTTGGCAGCTAGATAACTATTATTTCTATAAGTAACCGACTTTAAAGACCCAAACTAACTCCACTTATAGTTCATAGAATCCCAAAGGTAGGAAAAATAGGGGTGGAGCAAGGAAACCCAAGTTCCAGACCCAATTCTGACAGTGACTCAGTGTATGACCCAGTGAACACTTATCCTCTTTGTACCTATTTGTAATTGGAGATGAGAATTACTGAGATGCCTGCTTTCTCTCGGGCTATAAAACTAATACTAGAAAATTTACATTGATACTTAGACACAGATGTGGAAGTAATTGCTTCCTCTTCTATGTTCCCTTTGCACTCTGAACATGTCTCTATTATTGTACCTGCCAGGTTATCTCATAACTGTCAGTTTATATGTCTGTCTGCATGGCTAAACTAAGAGCCTCTCGAGGGTAGAAATTAGGTAAAATTCACCTTGGCGTCTCTTAGTTTCTATAACATCATTTGACACATAGCAGGTGCTCAAGAAATGTTTTCTGAATGTTAAAAAAACATTTTTTGAAAATTACTCAACAACAACAAAATCCTTAAGGTGTTTGGCTTTGAGACATAAAAAACAAACAACAACAAACACAACCAAGACCTCAGATCCTCAAAGGAAAAAATTCAGTGTTAAAGCAGAGGGTCTCTAATGACCTTTCAGCACTCTGGAGACTGTTTCTCAAAATAAACTTTAGTTCTTAGGGACTTCCCAGTTTATGAGACAGACTAATAGCTTCTTATTTAATCTTTACAAAAAACCCTTCAAATAGATATTATTATCCCCACTGGACATAAAAGGAACCTGAGTTGCAGAGAAGTTAAGTCATTTGTACATGGACACGGGAAGTCAGGAACTCGACAGCTACTGCTATGAAACTAGCAGGATAGTCATGTTTAATTAATTCATGAAGCCACATTAACGGAGCAGAATGTGCAAGGCAGACAGCTAAGTGCATTGGAGCATGAAAGATGATTCAGACACATCTTAAGGAATGTCTTCCGTGTCTAAGCCATGGACACAGATAACCTGCAAGAAAGAGATTTCGTTTTGTAGGAGTGCTGAAAAAAGGGGGTATTAAAGAGAACTCATTGGACAATTATATTTGGTCTGGGGGTGGGCAGGAATGAGACTGGGGGAAGGACATTCATGCAAAGGGAACAACATGAGCAAAAGGAGAGAGGACAATAGTCACATTAACAGGAAGAAAAGCACTGGTGAGAGAGGGCAAAGGAGAGAGAGGGAATGAGATAGAAATAGAATATTAGATATATTGACTTTAAGGTTCTGGTGAACATCTCAGTGGAGGTATCAATCAAGCAGTTGGAAATGCTGGGCAGGAACTGGTGGAAGAAACAGGAAATGATAATATACTGTTACAAATCATCTTTACAGAGAGAGACAGAGACAGACAGAGAGAGAGAGAGAGAGAGAGAGAGAGAGAGAGAAAGGAGGCCAAAGAAACATGGAGACAACATCCAAAATGTGGGAGAAGGGAGAGGAACCAAAGAAAGGGTGGTCCAGCAGTAGAAGCAGAACAATAGCAGGTCAGTAGATCAGCAGCCCCTTCCTGGATATCAACTCTCAGAAGATGGAGGTTCTGTAAAGAAAGCTTGGAAAGATGTAGGAAGTTAAGGAAGATGAGGACTAAGAAAAAGGCCATGAAATGTGGGAAGTAAGAAGTCACCTATGATATCCGAGGGGGCAGTTTTGGTCAAATTAGGGAGGGTGTGAAAGGATAAAATGGAAATTAATGGGGTTGAGGAGTGAACTGGTCAAGCAGCGAGGACAAATTCAAGAACTTTGATGGAGGCTATGAGAAAATACGAAATACTTCCTAAGATCTCTTGACTCCTCTGGTTGTCTTTATAACCAATTGGCTGCTCAAAATGAGGGCTTCAGTTCATTCCATGGAATTGAACTGGACTAATTAATTACCCGCCCACTCACATCCTTTCCTTATAAGCACCATGCTCCAGACAAATAACATTACACAGAAGATTTGATTTTTAAATCTTGGAGTGTGATTTGGAATTTTGTAGCAAGATGAGCACATCAAAGCAAACAGAGTCATACATAAGTGCCCCTTGAGAGGGTCTGCACTATCCTGGATGTGCTATCACTGTACAAAACCTGCTCTGATTCCCTCTTCAGTGCCGTTCCCTTGGTACTGAGGCAGCTATGAGGTCCATGATAACCTCTCCAATAATAGCTATTACTGCTGTCATCACTATTATAATTCTTCCACTTCACTGCCTACATTATGCACTAGACTTGCCTCTAAATAACTTTGGACTCTTTTCAATTTGAAGCCGCCTCAAAAACCAAAGACATGTCACCACAGAGTATATTCTGAAAGAAATTCTCTCAAAGGTTTCAAAAGCCATTCAGATGATGGTAGCACCTTTGGAAAGAGAGTTCAACCTGCAGTGATTTCTGGGGGAAGCACACGTGCTTGTGCGTAAGCTCACATTTTTACCCTGGCTATTATGTGTTTCTATGTAATCCATCAGCATCTGGACTGCTCGCCTTATACTACAAGTTCCCAAGTGCTGAGGTTCCTGCTTCAAAGACCAATACCCTCAAATTTAAAAAACAAACCACAAGGCACACAGATTTAGCCAAATTGGTGACAAGAATGCCAAACTTAGAAGAGGCACACTCAGACTAATGTGTGGCCTTACACAAGTCATTCACCCTCTCTGGGGGTAAGTTTTGTCACGCATAAAGTGAGGGGTTGGACTGAAGGACTTCTAAGATGCCTTTCTTCTGGAATGAAGATCTGGGAGAGGTTATAGCAGTCTGGGGAGCAGCCCCAGCCTTCCAAGAAATGGGGTGCCCCCTCCTCTGCTCCTGGAGGGCAAGGCGGGGTTTCCCAGCCTAAGTGAAAGCAGCCTCCTCCCCTCTGTGTGGGGCATTTGTTTGTCTTGTTCTTTGCTGCCCACCAAGCGAGCTGTTGAAAGGACAGCTCTGGCCCCCTCAGCACCCCGTCAGCATTATGTCTATGGGTGGGGCAAGGGGTCCTTACCCATTGTGTTGTTGGCTCGGGAACACGCTGTGCGCTTCAGGATCTCATGCACCTAAAACGGATGAGAGCAGGGCTGTGAGGGCCTTGACCGCGTGCGTCACCACAGTGGGGGGCGGGCGGAGACCCGGCGGCTAGACCTGTTTCCAGGGAGGGGGAAGCCAAGCATGTGCCAAGCTCATGGACTGCTTGTCAAACCCACTCAAACTTGAGTGCTTTGAGGAAACAAAGAATCAACACACACACACACACACACACACACACACACACACACACCCTTCGCCCCACCCTGAAAATTTTTTAAGAAAGGAAAGGCTATAAGTTCAGTTACAGAAGGCAAGGAAAACACATCAGGGAGCCCAGACCCATAGCGCCCTCTGGAGGGATCGGGAGGAGGCGCCTGGTGGTGCACAGGATGCCCTGTCTGCCTTGGGGAAGAAAGACCAGGAGGAGGATGTCCTTCCTCTCCACCAGCCCTGATTAGTGCCATGCTGGGGGTCAGCACAGCACAGGGAGGCAGACAAATCCGGTTCTAATCCTGGTTCCTAGCAGAGGGGTCCTGAGCAGCTCCGTGAGGGTTCATTGCCTCCTCTGTAGTAGAGCTATGTCACAGCTGCTTTGAGGAACCATTTTCGCCTTTTGTAAACTCTAAAAGGGCCACCTATGTGTTGACCATTAGTACTATTATTCCTGTTTTTCTCCTGAGTCCTCAGCTTGCCTTCCCAATCAAAGCATATCAGACACTTTCTCAAAACTCCATGCCTCTGAGCACATCCTGGACACCCAGCGGGCTGCCTGCTCAGTGACTACTGCATGTCTAAATGGACCAACAAACCCTGGACTAGGGACTTGCAGGGGAGTCTCTCTCATGGGAGATAGGGGTGCTGAGTGTATCCCCAGCAGAGAAAACAGGGACACAGATGGCCAGGGTAAACCTGCTGGCCAATCACTACCCTTCAGTGTGTTCCAAGCCTGTGCCAGGCTATGAAAAGATGCCCAGCAAGGAAGTTTTCTCTGGGATAAATAGCTGGGCTGCTCAGATGCCCACAAAAAAGAAGCACAGAGAAGACATTTATAGATGTGGGTGAGGTCCCCAGGGCAGAGTAGACCCCAAGACAAAAATCAAGGCTCTTTCTCTTCTCACAGTGTGGGGTAGACTGGCGAAAGGGCAGGATGGGAAGGAAGAAGTTTCTAGAAGAGATGAATGGAAAATGTGTTATTCCATCACCATTCACACTCCCACATTCCAGCCACAGACCTAGAGGGAGCAGTAAATAAATAACTTCTAGCAGAACGGAGCCCAGGAATGTTTAATTCATTTAAAATACAGTACAGCAATTCAACAGCAATAATAATTAAGAATAGCATTTATATGGCATTGTATTATTTTACAAGCACTTTGCAATTATCGGGTAATCTCCACAACACCCTGTAATTCCCTCAAAGACATGAGATCCAAGCCTCAGGGAGATTTAAGTGGCTTCTAAGAGCATCAACCAAAAAAATGGGAAGTTTATGGTTTTTTCCATAAAAAGATAAAAGAAATCATATGCTTATTTTTTACTTTTTTAAAAAATGGTTTCTTGATTTTTAGAGAGAAAGGAAGAGAAAAGGGAGAAACATCAATGTGAGAAGGGATCAAGCCCATATCCCAAGCATGTGCCCTGATCAGGAATCAAACCAGCAACCATTTGGTGCAGGGGATGATGCCCAACCAACTGGGCCACACCAACCAGAGCACATATGTCCATTTTAAACCTTCCTAAGACACTAGGGTAAGGGACCTGAAGTATTTTCTTGCCCATCCTGCAAAGAGTCATGGCCATGTTTTCAGCATGCCTTGGAAATGTGCTGTAGCTTCCTCTGATCACCTCCCTTTTTATCCTTATCACCCTATTGACTAGAAAGTTTTGCTGAGTATCTAATCCTTATTCCTCCTTCTGTTGAAACTTAAGTTCTTTCCTAGGGACCAATGAGAACACACCGCCATCATTTCCTCTGTGGCATGAGCACGAGTCCAGCATTCCTTGGGCCCCTCTTTCCCTCCTCTGTTCATAAGCTGAATGTTCTCTAAATGGGTAGAGAATAAACTGATCAGTGAGTAAACCAATCACCCTACAGTTCAGATTGGGGCCACAGGGGCACAGGCCATATGCAGATTTTCACTGGAATCAATCATCCTACAAAATTCAAAAACTTGACTTCACTTTTTTTCATGCAAAAAGACTGTAGAAGAACAGTATAGTCATGAATTTTGGCTTTCTATTGAATGAGTTGGTAATTTTATTCTTGGACAAACTGGTGAGTTCTTACATTCCGTGACAGGAATGCAAGGACTTCCCTGGGGGTGAAAGAAAGAAGCACAGTGGCCCAGCCATGAGTTCTCATTTGGACACTAATGATCTGTTTGAATTTTTCTCAACTCATTGCTTCTCAGAGCCTCAGTTTGCTCAACTGTAAAACAAGGGGGCCCCCTGACTACCTGAAAGTCTCCACCAGCTCTGAGAGTCCCTGTTTTTGTGATTCCAAGAAGGGTATAAGTGGAGAACTCTAATGAGAAAACACTCCTCTTAACCCTGAGTGAGGACAATTTTCTGCTTTTTTATTGAATTTATTCAGGTGACATTGGTTAATAAAATTATATAGATTTCAGGTGTACAATTCTATAACACATCATCTGTATATTTTATTGTGTGTTCACCACCCCAAGTCAATTATCCTTCAATTACCATTTATCCTCCCTTTACCCTCTTATACCTCCCCCATCTCCCTTTCCCTCTCTGGTAATCATCATACTGTTGTGTGTATCTATGAGTTGGGTTTTTTGTTGTTTTGTTGTTTGTTTGTTTTTATTTAACCTCTTCACCTTTTTCACCCAACCCCCTATTTTTCTCCCTTCAGACAACTGTTAGTCCACTCTCTTTTGCTACTGGGATTAGAAAGCATCCGCACATTTCTCTCAGTTGCTAGACAACTCTAAGCAAATGACAATGGGAGGTAGCAGGAAGGGCAAGAGGATGTCCTGCCAAACTGGGTACTTGGTCTTCCCCCACCCTTTCCTGGGCCCACCACACCTGGTTGAGCACCTGGTTAGCCTGTTTACTCACAATTCGACTACGGGTGGCATTGTCAAAGAAGGTGTCCTTATCCTGAATGTTGTACCTGGAGATACCAAGAAAGCAGAAGGTCAACTCATTTTAGTAACTTTGTCCTGAGACCACTTCACCCGGGCCCAGAGCAAACTTTTAAAAAGCACCATAGCAAGATGTGTAAGAGACACACACACTCACACAAACTCACGTTTATACTCTTTTTGACCCAGTGATTCTGAAAACTTATCATAGAGATTTATCACAGAGAAAATAAATTTAACAGAAGAAACAAGTTTCATAGATAAAAATGTTCATCACGAAGTTACTTTCAATAAGGTTATGGAGATACGATGCCAATTCCAAAATCTATATGATAAATTATCATGTAGCCATTGAAAATTATGATTACTAAAACTTTATAAATAGAAAATTTTCAGACTATCATTGAAAAATATTATACTATAAAGTTTTAAAAATAAAGGAATGCTAAAAGGATTCCTGTGTGTGGACAAAGAGAGTATAAACACACAAAGCAAAAAGAGTATAGTTTCAGGGTGTTGGAATTATAACTCTTTGTTTTTCAGAGAGTCATTTAATGTTGTCACTATATCATATTAGTTAGATACCAGAGTCCTAATTATGCAAGGCCTGTATCTGTTCTAACCTTCAAATATTGACCTTTCACTCAAAAAATAAAAATCCCAGCTGTGTAGAGTTACTGTGCTTGAGACACTGTGCCAGAGGACACACAGATGCATGAGACATGCTCCCAGCCCCCAGGAGCCCAGACACTGGGGTAGGTATGTTTCCAAACAACTGATGCAAAATAGACATGATAATATGTAGACCATTGCTGTGAGAAGTCTGAGGATGGAGACCATATTCTGGTTGGAAAGATCAGAGAATTCTTCAAGAACATGGTTTTTAGGAACTGGACTTGAAGGATCACAGAAGCTGAATGAATGGGGCTGTGTGGGAGGGGCAGTTCAATGCCAGGGCTGGCATGAAGGAAGGCCCAGGGAAGGGGAAGCACAGAAGAAACACAGAGCACAAAAAGGACAGCAGGCCAGGAGTCAGCATGCCAGTTCCAGGTCAGCCCCTTACGACTGTATAATCTTGGACAGACCCTGGACCTTGATTTCCTCTCTATAATAAAGGGATACATGTGGATGGCCACCTCACAAGAGGTTGTAATATTGTGATTTATAATAAATACATAGTTTGGTCTTCATCACTGATCCTGGCTCGTAGCTCCCAAAACCTTGGAATTTTCTGCGCAATCAGAGCAATCGGAGCATCTTTTGTCATAAAATTTTGTCTCTATCCTCAGTTCTTGAAATCACTTCAGAGCCATAAAGGTGAAACGGGAGTTTGTTATTCATAATAAGCCCTTCCTACCACAATGAGGTGACTTTTAGAAAGCACCTTAGGAAGGAGGCTGGTTTCTAAGGGAACCAACATGAATAGAGAGTGGGAGCTTTCAGTCCCACCACCTGATTTCCTGGGAGGGGTGAGGGGCTAGAGGTTGAATCAGTCATCAAAGATCAATGAGTTAATTAACCATGCTTATATAATGAAGCCTCCATAAAAACCCAAAAGGAAGGGTTTCAGAGAGCTCCCAAGTGGGAAGATCAGAGTTCTCCCACATGACACCTGGCAGGTTCCAACACAAAGGCAAAAATTCCTTTGTTTGGGATCTCACCATCTGATTGTTGATTTCTATCTTTTGTAATAACCTGGCAATCTAGTGAGTAAACTGTTTTCCTGAGGTCTGTGAGCTTCTCTCGCAAATTAATCGAAACCACAGAGGGGGACATGGGAACCTCTGATTTATAGTTAGTCAGTTAGAAGCACAGGTAACAACCTGAACTTGTAATTGGCATCAGAAGTGGGGTGGGGTCTTGTAGGACTGAGCTGTCAACCTGGGAAATCTGATACTACCTCCAGGTAGATAGTATCAGAATTGGGTTCAATTGTAAGACATCCAGCTAGTGTTGGAAAATTTCTTGGTCATCTGGAAAAACCCACACACACACACATTGGAATTGGTGACCAGAATTAATGCCAGGAGGGAATTCAATGAGGGAACATATGCAAAAGGACAGCATATATATGTGTATAGAATCATTATCGAATATGGCAAAGATGGGTAGGATATACTATCCAATAGCCAGCAGAAACACAGCTCCCATAAATAACATCTCCTCAAAAGAGACAGATCCTCATATCTTTTCTGCCTTTCCATGCCCCTTCCTTTCCCTCTCTTGCTCGATTCTTTTATCTTATCAGCAGCAAAAGTCACACAATAGTCTTGTTTTCTTACTAGCTCCTAAAACAGAACAAATGCTGGGCTGTTGCATCTGCCACTTTCCAACCATTTCTTCCCCATCCAAAGTTTTTCCAAATGGCCATCCCTGTGAAGAGCTGTTATTCCCTCACCTAGGGTTGGGTGTGGGGAGCAAGTCTCTGCAGAGTCAATACATTTATGAATAGGCAGCTGAAAATACAGAAATCCAAAAGCTTCATCCACCTTCTCACTGACTTATCACAGAAGTTAAAATCCTATCAGACTGGGAACTGAGCAGAATGGTTTCCCCACAGAATGTAAACAGGAATCTGAGTCCCAAGTTTATAATTGTCTGCTCCCTGATTCTCCATCCATCATGCAAAGTGACTGAAATGTCAGGTTTCCCCCAAAGCCACTGGACAAATATTCAGGATATAAATTCAATGTAAATTCAAGAGTTATTTGTGATAATCTCACTTACAGAAGGAGATGCAGAAAATATTTCACCAGGAGAGTATGCTTCCTCCCCACTCTCCCAGGCATGGGACATTCTCTCTATGACTGAGTGGTGTTTGATTTTCTTGCCCATCCTCCCTCACATCCCTACCCCTGAAGTTCTATTACTCACAGGTACATTTTCTCCCTGGAGAATGGGTAGGATAGGTTTTTCATCCTGTTGTTACTATGCTCTGGAACTCTGGGCTTCAGGGGTGAGCTCAGCTTCTGCAGAATCTCATTGAACTTCTTTGCAATGCAGCCTTCTGTTTTGATCTCATACATCTATGAAAGGCAAAGTCATAGGTCTGAAAGGAGGCCATAAACAACATTCAGAGAAGAGTGACTTACCAACCAAAGCTGCACAGGGTCCAGATCTCTGGAGGGGACCACTCTGGGGACAGAGGAGACTGGGAGAAACAAGAAGTAGGGTCCTTCCCTTTCCCTGATGGTTTCACAAGGACATAGGCTCTGGACTCCCTCTAATTATTTGTGTGAGTAGAGGTGACCAATGTAAAGGAATGAGCGATGAGTCCAAACTTTCTATATGACTTTGTTATAGGACCATCAGAGAAATGGAAAACCTACTATGTGACAGTCACCATCCTAAAGCATTTTATATAAATTAGTTTCAATGCACATAGCAACCCAGTTAGACAGACAATACTAGTCTCATATTATAATGAGAAAATTAAGGCTCAGAAAGGTGAGATGAGTCAGCAAAGGTCACACAGACAGTTGCTGGGTGACAGCTTGGATTTAACTCATGTCAACCTAATCCAAAGTCTACTCCACAACTACACTATGCCCCTAAGTGATCACATAGCAACACTTTGTTCCTCTTAGGAACTATTTGATAAATGAGTCTGCTCTCAAAGTAATAAACATCTAATAAGTATCTGCCTTGAGTAAGGCATAGATTAGTGCCAAGATAATCATTAATATTCATAGTCCATATAGCTTTTTATAATGCACAGAATGCTTTTGCATGCATTATAACTTTTGGTCTTTCTAACTTACAGTTATAGTCACTGAGACATAGTGCGATGAATTAATGATGGCCACAATTTTTTTACACAAATTCTCCTTTCAAAGGGTGGCATCTCTGTTCCCACCCTCTTAAGCCTGGATGGGCTCTGTAGCTGCTTGACCAGTGCAGCAGAAGTGACACTATGCCATTTTCATCTTTTAGGAAGATGGGCAGCTCTGCCTTGGTCTCTCAAAGCCCTTGGCCACCTGGAGGAAGTCTGCAGAAAGGTGCTGAGAGAACTCAGGAAGGGAAAGAACTAGGCCGAGCTCAGCATCTCGGCTGCCCGCCAAGCATCAGGCATGTGAGGGAAGCCTTATAGGACCCTCCTGTCCAGTTCAACCCCAAGCCAAATACCACCAAGTGACCTCAGTCAATACCACATGGAGCAGAAGAATCCCCCAACCCAGCTCTGCTCAAGTTTCTGACCAAAAACTTATAAGATAGAGTAAAATGAGTATGTTTTAAGTTACTAAGTTCGGGCTAATTCGTCATGCTGCAATAGATAATTAGAACAAGAGCCAACATCCAGATCTTCTGACTTGAAAGCTGGTCTTCTTCTCTCTAGTGATATCCTCAAGTTACTTAAATCTAGACAAGCAGTAAAACACGTACAGAATACATATAAGATAGACGGAGATAAAAGCCACAAAAGACATGCAAAATGCTTTGAGGGTTCAAAGGAAGGAGACAGCACATCCAGTTGAGAAATCAGAAGAAAGTTACATAGAGGGAGTAGTATCTCTATTGGACTTTAACAGAAAGGTAACCCTCTTTTGTTATCATTTTGTTCTTTAATAAAATTATGCTAAGTTGGGGGATATAAAGAACCACCCTTATTTAACAACTGAAATATAACCAAAGTTCATTTCTTCTAATAAATTTTCTATGCATTTTGGTTTAATTTCTGTTATAAAATTAAAATAGTCATAGTAAACAAACCATAGAAGTATGTTAACTAAATGTTATGTTTCCTTTCTCTTCCAACCCAATCCTCTCCAGAAGCAATCTCTATTAGCAATTTGAGTATGTTTTATTCTGATTCTTTCAGAAATACATTTATGACTAAATTTTGTTCTAAACTGTGATTATATTTCACATCTTCTATAATTAACAATAGTTCACAGATATATATCTTTCCAGATCAGTTCGTGTAGAGCTACCTTAATGAATATATAATAGTAGAGGCCCAGTGCACTGTCCTCCCCTGCCTTCCTCTGGGATCGGACCTAAACTGGTAGTCGGACATCCCTCTCACAATCCAGGACTGCTGGCTCCCAACCGCTTGCCTGCCTGCCTGATTGCCCCTAACCACTTCTGCCTGCCAGCCTGATCAC